ATCCAAAAAAAAAAAAAAGTTAAATTGGTATTAAAATTCAAGGGTTGCAAACGTTATATTTGAAAAAACGGTTGAAATTTGAAACGTAATTATAACGGAAAACGATAAACAAAAATAACTAAATACCGCAAAACAAAACACCACGATTAACAAAATATATTATATAATATCATTAAACAAAAAAATAACTCAAAACGAAATAGTTTATAAGTTAAAATATTGGTTTCGTAGAAATATTTCTGTATCGCAGAAGTCGAGTAACGCAAGTCACAAAAAGCTAATTTTACAAAACAAAAATATTTGATGCAATGGACTTACAATTGTATACCTACTTCAAAAATATTATTTTGTATTACTTTTCAAATGTAAACGTTAGACATAAGTTTCTATTCTTCTATCATAGTTTAGGACCTAAGTTAGTATACTTCTTGCTATATTTACATTTATTGTATATAATAGGACTATTACGTTTTAATACCTTTAAAAAGATCACGAAAAGTAAAATACCTATGATTTGTAGATTCGGTACAATTCGATGTATTTTTTTTTTTATTATTATTTAATTGCCTCGGTTAATAACATTATGGCTAAAATGCGATTTAGGTTTACCAAATTTTTATTCATTCGTATTTGGACCATAGTACGAGTGCCATCAAAGACAAACACAAACATCAGTTTATAGTTTCAAGTGAGTTAATCTCGTTTTTAATATTATAAGAGTACTGTGTTATTTTACTGTGTTTTTCTTCAATATGAACACAGAAATAATGATCGAGTTTAATATTTTGATTGGTTATTTTTAAATATAATATTTTATTTATGTTATGCAGATGAAATAATTTTTTTTGTAGTTATATCATATGAATTATTTTAATTTTTATGATTTTTTAGTATAGATTATATATATATGTAACACGTCGTATTATATAACATAATAAAACTTGATATGGAGATTCTTGAATAAATTCAAATAGTGTAAGTATTACATTGTTGTATTTTAGATAAGTGAAAATCTTAACACATACATTTCTAAATCAAAATATATAAATTTGAATAGTTTTTCACCGGTGACTGCCGGTTTCTGTGTTCACAGTGCACAGACACTAAGCATACCAACACAGACCGTCACGAACCGGACCGTCAAAACATTATTTTGAATGATGATCGCACAGTGGGATGAAACCCGTTTCTAGCTTACATAAATTAATAACTCTAAAACTATATTACATAATATTGTGCGATAAATTAAACCAATCACTTTTAAGGATGCTGAACCCAAATTTCGCATCAGTTTTTTTATTTTGCCCATTATTAAGTAGGAAATAAGGGTGTACTATTTTTAAATTTAAAAACAATTATATTCTACATAAGTTTATATGTTTTTAAGACTGCTAAACTCAATTTGTGCATACATAGTGTAATTGGCATGACAATGGCCCTTTAATAGGATCCCCATAAGGACAATGAGAAGGTGGTACCTTATATTTTTAAACATCAATGCATTTTTATATTTTATTATTTATTTTTACCAAACGTATAAGTTTAGATTTATAAGTTTATAACAATATTATAGATACGAGTTTTGATGTATAATCATCAAATCGCCGAGTCGATCTAGTGTGATCTAGTTCCACCGATGACGTGTGTAGTCTGATCATGACTGTTGGGCAATCTGATGCTGTTGAAAAATAATTTTATGTATTTATTAATGTAGAAAGTAGAAATATAATATATTACAAATTAATGAAGTTATTAAACCAAATTATCGTAAATAATCATACCCGTAGAATAGTTCCAGGGCTTCCACGGCTATCTGCCGCTGAGCCGCCTTTTTTGTAGATGCTATAAAACATAAATTAATAGCAAAAGTAATCAATTTTTTTAGAAACAATTTTTAATATGAATAGGTACTCATTAATTCAGCCAATGTATTTTGTTTTATATAGATTTATTTATATTACGTGGAATAATCTATATTTAATTTATATTTACAAGATAGTAATGTTTTTTTTTTGTATTTATTTATTAAGGTATAACCTCAGCAATTGACTGATAATTGTATTTATTTTTGTTGTATATTATAGTAAAGTGATTTCATAAAAATTAATAAATCATATTTGAGTTTCCAATAAAAGGAATATTGAAATCAATTAAAAACTTATATTAATAACGTCAATACCTAATAAAATGTTGCATTAAAAAAATATTACCTCGTCCAACCATTAATACGCCATTTATTTTAGATTCTACACGGATATCCGCTGGAGGATTCGAAATGACACGAACGACGTACTGTAGATTTGGCATTAGCTCATTCAGCAACTGCACCGGGTGATAAGTATTCATTCGTTTTGATACATTTTTCACCGGCTAAAATAAAATGGCTTATGTTATAAAATGATAATACACTAAAATTGTAATTACTGTAATAATATATATATATATATATATATAGTCTATGTTATAATGAATATTTAAGATTAATATTCTAAAATGTAGGTGTAGAAAATTAAAATCAACTAAATAGAGCTATTAACTACCGATTACCAAAATTCCTAGCCGCCTATGAACATATTATGCGCATATTTGGACATGAATAAACAGTACGATAGTGAAAATATTACGCAACACAGACACTATATAACACAATCAGTGTACCTTCCTAACAGCGAACATACATGCAAAAATTAATATTATATACTGTAACAATTACATGACCTCTTCTTATTTACCTTTGGTACAAACGTTTGTTTGAATTCGTTTTCTTTCAAACATACTTTGGGTGTACATGGGTTTAAATTATTTAAATCCATAATTTTTGTTGGCTCAGGTTCTTCAGTTATTTTGATTGAAGAATCTAAGACACCCTAAAAAGACAAACAACAATTTTACATTTAAAATTAAATATTATTTATTTATTTATTAAATATAAACGGGCGTGAGCCCATGATACATATAGGTATGGTGTAATGTTGACAAAAAATTACATACTTATTTAAAGTGTGGTACATGCTTACATGAGTAATATATAAAAAACAAAATAAAAGCTAACAGTATAATACTATGGAAGAAATGACGGGTCCTCATTGGCTAATTTCATCATACGGTTTATTGGCTCGCGTTTTGTAAATATTTTGTAGGACAATGCGGAATAAAAAAAGTATGTGTGTTGCGGGTGCACTTAACAGAAGCTTTAAAGTTAATTAGAGCAAGGAGTGAAGGGGAGTCGACAGATACCGATAAGACTTTATTAAGAAAATCAAGAGCATGCGATCAGCGACGGTCAGCTAAGGAAGATAAGTTTATTGCATTTATAATAAAAGTACTTGAGGAATAGTGTGGTAGATTGGGGCATTAATGAATATTCTAGAATTAACATGTGGATGGTCAAAATATGCTTCCAATTTTTTTATCCAAATAACGCAGACATTTTTGTATTGGATGCACTTTCTTTAAAACATAAATTGTAATTTAATATTATAAATGTTATTTCATATTTACTTCTAACATAACAGAAGTGTTCCGGTCTATATTGGAAGTTTCATCATCCTTGACTAGACCTCTTTAATAAAAAATATATTTTTTAATAAATTTGTATAATATAAATTATTAAAAACTTAATCATTAGTATATTATTATTAATGCATTTTTAATCAACCTTAAAAGACTGAACGATACAGACTCCAATGTATCTTTAGGTATTTCATTAAGCCAGTTGATTGGAGTCCAATTGACTAAATCCGGAAAATTTCTGGATCCAATCCTTAATCTGTTGCCTGCAGGTGAACAACAGAAAACCATCTTAATTAATGTTTCAACTTTGTTGACAAAAAAGTTCAGTTTAATTTTCGATAAACCAGCTGCTTTAACCTAGAATCATAGATTGTCAATTTAACATTGTAAATAACCTAATTTAATCATTGACTAAACCTCTTGGGCTATGGTTTGGATAAAATTGCCGATTTCATCATCGGCAAACAGCTCTCGTATCTCATCACTGGCCAGCATGCCATTGATGAGCAAAGTTAAACTATCATCGGCGGCTTGGGTGTCAACCATAGCTAACACGATGCTTAAGACTTTCAATCCAGCCATACTGTATAATGTATTTAGATCCACTTTCAAATCGACCTTTTGAAGATCTAAAAGTGGGCCTAAATACCTTAATGAGTTGCCTCTGGGAAGTTCATGAATACGATTTATCCAGCAAACGTGGGACATCGTGTCTTCGAATTGCACTAAATTAAGAGCCCCCAGAAATTCATTGTACGACTTCACTGCATCATTTAATATTGTCTGCAGTACAGGCGACGACCGCACATGCATACATTTTTGGTCACCAATACCGTCCGCAAAATGTGAATGTATCAGTGTGATAATCAAGTATTCGTTTTCTGGACGAATATCCTGCATACATAAGTTTAAGATATAAAATTATACCTAGAGTAGGTTTCGGATTGAATTTATAAACGCTTTATGAAAAAAAAAAAACAAAAATAATAATAATATAAATATATAATACAGTAATTTCTTCTACGGTGTATTAATATGGTATTAATTAAATGTTTTATGTTAATAAACGGAATATAATATTTTGTATGAAACAACAAAAAAATTAATTTTTTAAATGTTTAATTAAATCCACTTTTAAATATTCGTATACAATTAGTAGGTATGTTATAAGGTAGGTATAGATCATTAAATAAGTAGTTCAAATTGATTTGTTAACTTATATTATACAAGTGATCGTTTGCACATTGTAATAATCAATATTCTTCTTTATTACAATACCAACATATTCAAATATGAAATAATAGTCATTTAAAATAAATATTATATGTTAAATGTTATATAGTTGATTAATATCAAAAGTAATTAAAAAATATTATTAATATAATTAGACATAAATTAGTGTCTACATGTGGACATCAATAGTATAAGGTTCAGAAACATTGTAATTGTATTCATATTTTTCTCAATTGGTATGATAATATTATAGTTTAATTATAAATTGCTTTTATTAAAATGAATAAAATCTCTGTTAACCGCCATTTGGAAAATTCAAGTCTCCAATCGATCAACTATAAGTAAATTACCAATTTAGCATAATGATCACAAAGACACAAAATATATTAAATAATTGACATTATTATTATAAACATGTAAGGTATAATATAATATATTAAATACAATTGTATTAATTGTATAAGCCTGGAGCGCTACTATATTAAAAAATAATACTAATTATAGGCACCTGATCTTGAAATGTTGCTGAACTAAAAACCCAAAGACAAGTGAACACAAAATATTTTTCGTGAACATCCCTAGCAGTTTCCGGCGGACCGGCCATTCGAGTCAGAAGACAATCGAGTAACGTACACAACATTTGTTTGTGCGTTACGTCCGGTGTGAGTATACCAGAATGAAAAACAGTGGCTGGCGTGGTAGACCAGCTCAAATCGAACGGTAGACACATTGTCTGTGTCAGGGCTATACGTTCATTGCCCGGCAACGTCAACACCTGTAATGTATATATTATATCGACAGAGTTTGTCCAAGTGTGTTGTTTGTAAGGTATAATATAATATATTAAATACATTGTATTAATTGTATAGCATGGAGCGCTAACTATATTAAAAAATAATACTAATTATAGGCACCTGATCTTGAAATGTTGCTGAACTAAAAACCCAAAGACAAGTGAACACAAAATATGTTTCGTGAACATCCCTAGCAGTTTCCGGCGGACCGGCCATTCGAGTCAGAAGACAATCGAGTAACGTACACAACATTTGTTTGTGCGTTACGTCCGGTGTGAGTATACCAGAATGAAAAACAGTGGCTGGCGTGGTAGACCAGCTCAAATCGAACGGTGGACACATTGTCTGTGTCAGGGCTATACGTTCATTGCCCGGCAACGTCAACACCTGTAATGTATATATTATATCGACAGAATTTGTCCAAGTGTGGTAATGTACGCCCATTTATTATTCATAGCATACTTATATAATCATCATGAGAGTATTTTTTACCTTATTGTCGTCCATCACTGTGTTTAATGACTCAATCCGCATAGGATCTATGTCACCGTTCATTACAAACAATTTGAATCCATCATCAGCCATTTGTGATGGATCTCTTATCAGACACGAAAATAGTTCTATACGAATATACAATAATACTACAATCAAGTGCAAAAATTATAGTGATGCACAAACTCTTACCGTCTACACATTCTCTACTAGTCGGATTAATAACGTCAAACAACTCGTCATTAGTTACTGCATTCGATTCATTGAAATGCGGTTCAGATCTCAGGCTTGCATAAGTTCCATACAGATTTGTCCACACCTCAGTCTTGCCCGTAGCCGAGATTGAATCTGTGTAGTATAATATAAATTACAAATGATTAATTATAATACTATGAATACAGATCATTTAATAATAAACTATGCATTATTATTATTAAGCTATTTCCTCTGTCTGATTCTCACATTTATATTATGATTAAAAATTAATTAAATTAAATCAGTATTTATATGACTAAACTTACTTCGGACAACGGTGTCCAGATAGCGGCTGAGGCCATATAATATGGCCTCGCCGGTGACTTCTGCCACGAAGGCGATAAACATATTATTCTCTGTAAATCAAAAAAGGAAAACAAATTAATAAATACACCAGACATTATATTATGTATACATTATATATTTACCAAAATGTGCTTTTTGGTTTTCGATGTAATATCGAGTAGTAATATTTTCTGCTTGCAAATAAATTATAAACAAAATAATACAGACCGTTTCCACCGCAACATAAAAACGTTATAGTAATAAAGTACCCAATTATAAATATATAAGAATATAGGACCGGTGGAAGACATAAGCGCCAAAATAAGATAAGAAAAAAAAAGTCGTATCGTACAAAAGCGCCAAAATCCTAGGTACCTGTGAGCCACGGTTAATAGAAATTAAATAACAGATATTAAATTTAGAACTATATCGCTCAAAAACTCCAAACACTTAATCTTAATCGACAAATGTATTATCTGATTACGATAGATTGTCAAATAGACAGTGTGTGAGCAGTTTGTGTTATAACATATTGTTAGTACCTATTTCGTAAGCGTCATTCGTTAAAATGGATTTTATAAAAACTGTAACAAACAAAGGTGTTGTGTGTATTTTATTTAAAGAACAAAAATATAGATTTTTAAGAGAAATGGCCAGTGGTAATGTGTCATTGAGGTGTACCAAAAAAAAATGTTCTGCTAGAATAGAGATGGATAAACCTATGACTGCGATTGTTCGTGTTAATGGTGAGCATTTACACGATATAGTGAATGATCATGATGCTCAGTGTCATATTTTGCGCAATAACTGTAAGAGAAAAGCAACTGAAAATATTACCGACCGACCATCGAAAATAATGCGTCACGAGTTGTGTGCTGCTGAAAATACGGAAATGGTTTCAGATGATATTGGAAATATTCGAGTTTCAATGTACAGACAAAGACGTAAATTATTGCCGACAACGCCTCAATCATTGGAAGAAGCTATTAATCAAGTTAGTAACCGGAATATTTTAACTAATAGGAACGAAACGTTTTGTCACGTAGATACAGAAAGCAAAATCATTTATCTGATCACTAAATCTAATATTCAATACATGTGCCACAATAGTTCACTTTTAGTTGCCGATGGTACATTTTACGTGTGTCCGAAATTTTTTTACCAGCTTTATACAATACATACTTATAGCTGTGGAAGATATTTACATTTAATATACTGTCTACTACCAAGTAAAACATCAAATTGCTACGAATCAATGTGGAAATACATACAAAAATTGTGTGAAAACTATAATTTAGAATTTTCTCCAAAAACACTCTTAGTTGATTTTGAAAAAGCAGCACATGATGGATTTTTAGCAGTTTTTCCAAACTCAAAAATAAAATGTTGTAAATTTCATTTAGGGCAATCGTGGTTTCGGAAAATTCAAAGCTTGGGTCTTCGAAATGAATACACGAAGAACTCTGAAATAGGGATTTGGTTGAAGTCTTTTTTTGGTTTGGCTTTTCTTCCGTGCACCGAAGTATCTGATGCTTTTGCAGATTTAATGTCCATCGCACCTGAAGATCAAACGATTTCCAAATTTAGTGATTACATTTTAGAAACATACATTTATTCTAGTATATTTCCATCTGAAATTTGGGCTGAAATTCCGGATAATGAGGTTATACGAACTACAAATGCAGCTGAATCATATCATCGACATTTAAAAGACCAATTTTATGTTGCTCATTGTTCCGTTCATATAGTAATTGATGTATTATTAAAATTACAAAGCGAAACATATTTATTTATGAACTCTCCTCCTAACAATAAATTAAGGATATCTCACGATGAAATAATTGTACAATGGAAGAAATACCAGGATGGTGAAATAAATCGTATGGAATATGTGAAAAAAGTGGGATTAAAAAATCAACCAATTTATTAAATGTATTAAATATTGATGTGCATGTATATTATAATTTACTATCGACATTTTATTTTTATAAAAAATTAACCAATTTATTAAATTTATTAAATATTTATGTGCATGTATATTATAATTTACTATCGACATTTTATTTTTATAAAAAATTAACCAATTTATTAAATTTATTAAATATTTATGTGCATGTACCTACCTATATTATAATTTACTATCAACAAAATAATTTTAATATAATATAATTTTTATAAGATATAGAAATTTTTAAATAACTACCTACTTAATACTTTTATAAATTATTAATTTTGGCGCATATGATATGTAATTTTTGCACCTTTAGCGCTTATGTCATATGTTGGGTATAGCAGGTATACAATATTAGATTGGCGCTTATATCCTACTGATTTTGGCGCAAATGATAGGTCATTTTTGTACCTTTGGCGCTTATGTCATACAGCCTATAGGACATAGGTCACGGGGGAACAACTGGACACACACACATCATTATTTGTATTATTTTATTATTATTATTATCGTTGAATGTGTCTTGTGAGTTATATACTATGTAGATAAAGCCAGAGCATTATCGTACGCCGCCTCGTCGGCTGCCGAACAATATAATTTAATACGGCCGCCGTGATTTTGTCTCGTATCGTAGTACGTCCTTCCGCAAACACCAACATGTGCAAAAATCATTATAATATAATCTTGATTTTTTTTTTATTATGAGCCATAAGGGCAATACTTATTATATTATTATTCTTGTCATTTTACGTGTATTGTACTCGTATTGTTATAGGACAGGACCAGTTGGCCAGTTGCGCTCCACAAACTGTGAGTTTTTTTCATTATTTATATACAACAACCTTTTATTATAATACATATTCAATTGTTGGGCCAAAAGGGCTATATATTTGTTACAATTATAATTTATTATTATTATTTTGTTGGACCGGAAGGGGCAAGGGCTATGGATTTTTTATACGAGCTCAAATAGCTGCGCCAATATATATTTTATTTCGGCTGGCCATAAGGGCCGGTCATTTATTATTATTAACTCTATTACTATAATATATTGTTGGACCAGAAGGGTCACATTATTTTTTATACCGGCTCAAATGGTTTTTTATATTATTATCATCGTATTATTATTATTTCGGTTGGGCCAAAAGAGCCATTCAATATTATATTTTTTATACATTTGTGTTGCGATGTGTTTATTACATATTTGTACCGCTATTATTTAAATTGTGTGTTATACAGCAACTTAGCTATCGAAAACCGTGTCTGTTACCATTTTTTATTACATATTTGTTAAATTGTATACACACCTACACATATTCATACACAAATACACATAATTACACAACACGCACTACCTAGCCGACAGTAATTGCTAGGCAAAACTACTGTTCGAGCTATTACACCATTACACATCCAGCTTGTTCTCCATATTTCCAGGACTTAAGTGCTAGTGGTGTTAAGAAGCCTAGTTGGTGTCCGGGCGCGCGTATTATTATTTTACGCTCCCGGCCCGCACATAGACAGTATAATTATTATGTGAACTTTGATTCTTGCTATTTTAGATTCAGAGAGAAGCAATACCAATTTTCGACGAATTAGATTTTTTTTTTTTATATATATTGTAACTTGTAAGATTCTGGGTTTTTCGTGGACGCAACTTATGACCTACGAGCCGCACCGCGTGTAAATCCGAATATTTAGGTCGGTGGAACTCGTAGGCTTTGATACACGCATTAGCGAATGAACACTAAAGATTTATCAGAAAATAATATTAATAATAAGGGATTTAAGGCGACACTTTAAGTAATAATTAAATAATAATAAGACTAGAAGAGAAAGTTTCAGGGTAAAAAACGTGGTTTTATATTTTACAAGGTAGAGAATAATAATTTTAGCATAGAAATAAAAGTATAATATTTTGAAGCAATATTTGGCCACTTCTAAAACTAATTTTCTAATATTTTCTAACTGTTTGCTACATTTTTACTCATTATCAATATTAATGTATGTATTGAGTAAGCTAAATAAACGTACTCAATCAGAAATCATCAAGTAAGGATCAAGTAGATTTACCGTAGGTACTAAATTACATATAGCATTGGCATCTGTTACTGACCAGTAATATAAACGTGCAGCATATTGTTTATATCGTTTATACTTTATAATAGCATAATATTTTGTTGACACTATGAGTTATGAGTTTATGACGTATGATGCACCACTTAAATCACATAATATAATATTATACTTAAATCAGCGGGGTTTTATGGTAGTGAAAATATATTATGTTTACATAATTACAGTTTAAACATATATTTACAATAAAATACAAAATCTAATTAAATTATATAAAATATCACCCGTTTTTGTCACACTGCGCAAAAATGTATAAACAAAATAATATTAAGGCTTATAATAATAATTATGTCTTAATAATAAAATTATACTAATTATTATAGTTGATATGATATACCACGACTGTCACAGCAAACAGTGAAATATATTTGTCTCGTCGCGATTACGAGGAACTACGCGTATAGGTATTGCATATTGAAATCGCGCACGACTTCTAAAACACGTCTCGACGAAAATCGACTCGTCGTAAAAATAGTAAATTGTAGTAGTAAATCGAGCCTGTACACGCGAGGATAAAAAATATGTGGTTGCAAAATTCTAAATTTCCCGACGAATCATAATGGCCAGTAAGAAATATTATGAATATCGCAATGTCGAGGCGTCGTACAGTGATATATAATAATATTAGGTTTTTACACAGCAGAGGAGAGTTGCGTGAGTACAGAGTGGACGAGTTGGCGAGATACATATAGATGGTGCGACAGTGAATGGACAGGTTTTCACTTTGCGGGGATCAAGTGATCTATATGTACATATGGATATTATCCTGCGATAACGAGGACAGTGTCCGCTGCAGTGGCCATGGATACAGTTACACTTGTATGGTTTTATCGCCGCTGCTGCCTGTTGTAACCGTTGTACGCCATGTCGTTGGCATCTTCCTTAAACGCGACTGAACCGGAAGACGGTACCTTGACGTCCTGCTGGTTCCGGGCTGGCCGGCTGTTGTACGGCTGCGCGTCGGCTGACTCGTACAGGTACTGTTGCGGATCTACCGGATGTTCACGGTGGTACTGCGGTTGTTCCAAGTGTTCACGGTGGTACTGCGGTTCCTGGTGTTCGCGGTACGGCGAGTACACGGGTCCAGACTGGGGCAGAGGTCCACCGCAGTTGGACGGCCTGTGATAGTAGCTGCTGTGCCCGAACGTGCCGTAGTTGTGCTGGAGGTCAGGCTTGCACAGTTTGAAGAACCCGATGAGACCGGGAACGACCAGTGCCAGGAAGCCAAGCACCTTCTTGAACGACGCCAGACCCAGGATGAGCGGCAGGAAAAGCAGGAGTTTCAGTTTGAACAGCTTGAGAACGATCAGCAGGGGGATCAGAAGCTTCTTCACTTTCTTCTTAGCTGAAACACAAAAATGGTTATGATTATTATTTTATAATGCCAGAATCTGCAAAGCTTATAGTTTTATTTTATTGACATAATTATTTGTTTGTTTTATCTTGCAATCAGAAAGTTAACTTAAAATTATAATTAAAAAAAAAACCTCGACTCATATTATAATATAAATATTATATTATATTAATATAATCATAAATATTATAGTAAGCTCCGCGTCTAATATTTCTTTTATATTATATTAAGATGATTTTAACTCAAAGAATATATTAATATATCGGAAAACTAAATCCACGGCAATAATGTAGCTGAATAGCCTACCCAAAACGCCGTGTTATCGTTATAGTATTGTTTAAGATAAAAACATTAAAACAAAACCTGTATGGCTTTCAAATAAAATGAAGTAGTTTTTTACAACTAACTTAGTTCTCTATAATAATACACGATATTATTAAAAGTTAATGACTTTCAATTTAAAAATAATAACTGAAATATATTTCGGAATATTGGTGAGATAAAAATATAGAATCCTCGTAACTAATAATAATATAATATAATTATGTGAACGATTTAATACACAATCGGTTATTTTCAATTAATTATGAGTGAATATTTTACATAACAGTGTACATTCACGTCATCATAATGACGTGTGTTAAAGTCAACGAGAAGTACTCGTAATCCATTATATTATACGTCTCAATATAGGTACCTAACAATAATAATAATATCATTATACACACGATCGGAACGCATTTCAGGTGGAGCACGAGCTGTCAACACGTAACTGGTAACATTTGAATAACATAACCGAGGCAGACAAGTCAGTCGTACGTTCGAGACAATATCTGCATAAAAATATTGTATACTACTTACTAATAAGCATGCCTAACGTCGTAATGCGTCGCTTTCGGTTTAGGGAAAACGACGAAGGGAAAAATAAATAAATCGGTCCGAGCGCGTTTCTCGCCGCGATTATAACTTGTATTATTATATTAGCGCCCATTCACTGCTAAAAAGTCGAACCTTTTGTGCGTATGCTTTCGTTTTCGTCGTGTCCGTCGTCGTCGTAATAATATAATCGTGGGCGTCATATTTTTTTTCTTTGTATATATAGTCATTACGCCATTGCGAGTATCACAAAAAACACGACGAGGAAGTGCGCCGTGCTGTCGTAATATATTACTATAAAATGTATTTTGCGTCCAACACCGACCCGGAATCGTGACGACGATCAACACAATAATATAATATTTTACGACCGTGAGAG